GTACGTGCGTTGGAGCTGCGGCAAATGGGCGGGAAGCTGTTCGAGTCGGTCCAGGAGCGCGTGCGGGCACGGGTCGGGCGCGCGAGGGAGAATGCGCGCGCGGCGAAGGAGGAAGTGTTCAGCATGGATGTATGGCCGGTGACCGCGTGGCAGGGTGTCGAGGCACGCAGGCTGGCGCGGGAGCGCAGAGCGTATCGACAGACGAGGTCTGCGTCCGAGCAGTGAGTGTGCTGGTGCTGCCCCCCCCTCGATGTCGCAGTTCTAGCCTCGCCTCGGATAGACTCCCCCATTCGTTCTCTGGTATATTATTGACACTGCATGTATGTATTATGAAATCTGTACTTCATTTCCCCCACTTCCGCAAGATGGCTTTGTACCATATCTTATTCGCTGCTGGTCGATCTATGTATTAGACAAGTACTATGCAATCATCAAACGTTGATATTTCCGGGTCGATTTGGAAAAAATTACAGGCCCGAAGGTTCAGTTGATCTGCAGTAGTTCGATGCTTCGTAGATTGATGACGCTTAAGGGAGACCAACCATGTTGTGTACCCCACCCCGCTTCCTATGTTGATAAATGGGCACCAGTAGCTATACAACGAATGTCATTAAGGGCGCCGAATCGATACATTTGCCGTGCAGGTATGAGCATGCCATCAGTGTTCACTGTTGAATCTCGTAAGTAGACAACCTGCGACCGAATTGGTTGCAACATACCACATATTGAACTCATGCCCGAAGCGTTCGCTGTTCACAGTCTTTACAAATACGGTCCGCTCGCTCATGAGTGTCTCACGGTACGCCTTCGCTTGCTCGAGCGTGATCATGTCTGCGTCGTCCGCAACGATGTCCTGGAGCTCGACGGGCAGTCGGTCCCACAAATTTGTCCCTGAGATAGCGCGTCGTTTCCACGATGCCTGCTGAGGTGCGACCACGCTCGCCGACGGAATCGTGATATGCGGGTCTACGAGGAAAAACACAAGGATCTTGCGGTGGCCTGGCCTGGTGGGGTCGGCCAAGCGGAAGGGCGAGACGAGGTGCTGGTAGAGGTTTGGGAATGCGATGCACCGATCTTCTTTTGTGATCACTTTGCCTACTTCTTGCACGCAGGGGTCGTCCCTATGGGGTTGTGGTCGGGAATAAGCGTGAAAGCTCGCGCGGAGGATCTGAAGTGCGTACCGGTTGATACCGTACAGGTGGGCCATGCAATACGTGTCGTCCTGTCCATGATAGCGCGGATCATTGACGGCGTTGCGGAACGACAGAGTGGACTCCGTTAGGTTATCGCAATCGTAGTACTATCAGCAGGTATTGTTATTAGCCTCGTGGTCGGATGAAGCTGCCGACAAACGGTGCGAAAGGCTCACGTATATAAATGTGGAGACAATGGCCTCATTGTTCATGCCTAGCATGCACTCAGATGACTGTTCGCTGTTACACATACCTGATCTCACCTTCCACGTGCCACTTTCCGCCAGGGTACTCGGGCTTCTCGGGGGTTAGGACGATGTTCGCGAGCTTGACGATCAACTGCAAAGTAGTGCCTCGCAGGTTGATGGTCTTCTGCACACTGTCCAAGCCGCCGTCATATACCGGCTTGCTATCCGGCCACTTCTTCGGCTGTTTTTCATAGTACCTAAACCATACTAACCGGTAGGGATCGAAGTTGCGGTCCCCGGGTTGGCGCCCGGCCTCGAGGCGATGAACCTCTTGTTGCATGGCTTCTTCCTCGTCAGCTTCAGGGAACGGAGCCTGAGCATGCTACGGTCAGTTCTGTTGCACGAATAACACAAGCTTAGAAGACATACCTCATCCGGCCAAATGCAAGTGGGATATTTATCCTCCCCTAGGTCCAACCGTGTCCGGACCTGCCTCTCTCGCGCGAGGTCGGACAACACCCATTCGAAAAGAGGGACGGCGCGTTCTACCACTTTCGTGATGACATCTTCAAGCGCAGCATAGTCCTCGGGATGAATGTTGTTGATGTACGGCGATGCTAACGACACGCTACCGTCTTCGGAAACGTGGAAGTCGGAAGGCAGCCATTGGAATCGTTGAGAATTAAACTTAGGCGCCACGTCATTGTCCTCTCTGGGCTTTATTGGTTCACCGGATGTCGTCACGGTAAGTCCATATATAACAGGATAGAGAGATGGATGGACGAGGTCCAAGACCTTGCCGTCCGATCCCGGATGCCAGTCTTTCTCCGAGTCAGGGACGGACTCGAGCGGGGAGACAGCGGATCGTAGTTCTGACTTGAGATTGGAAGGTATGAGCTTATCTGACCGCCACACGCGCTCGTAAGGGCCAGGCTGATCAGAGTGCATATAGTGAGAAGCGAAGGGGACATAGGTGTGCAGAATCTGACCTCAATGCCTGTGCTCTCGTCGCGAAGCGCGGCGTATGCCTGAAGCTCCGTCAGGACATAGTTTATCTGCCACATTCTGCATGAGATCAAGCAGAGTGCAAGAATCGATTGGCCACGTACCATGTTGTCCGTGAGCTGAAGACTCTGATGAACGTCCTTCTGCTGTTCATGGATCTCTTCTATCCACTTTGACCGTATCTTCTCGTCGCGGAACTTGATATGCCAGTCGGCCTTCTCGCGAATGGACGCGCTCAGTGCGCACATCCGCAGCTCGACGAGCGTGCGAGGGGTATCCTGTTCGGTAGGATCATCTTCGTCGAAGTCGTAGTATTCGTAGTCAGCTCCTTGGGTGAATGGGTGCGGGAAGCGCTCGTCATTTACACCGGATTCCGACTCTAGCTCGTCATCGGTGCCGGTGTGTTCAGATACTGGGGATGCCATGTCCGCCGTGTTGTAGAGAGCTGAACACGACTGTCAAGGATCCACAAGGAGGGGCGTTCTCCGTTCAGGGGGCTGAAGCGATGCACTGATCTAGATAACATATACGCGAGAAGCATTTTGGCAGCCCAGCGCCGAATCATACTAAATCCAGGAAGACTTACATACCAAGCCCCGCGACGACTCGTGTGGTGCGCCCGACTCATCAGTCACAGTCACAAAGTCTGCGAGGGGCGCGCTCGACAATAATTGCAGAATCTGCCACACACAACGTGCGTGGAGAACATGAAAGAGCTACTCTCTTCTACCTCGAGCAGCATTTGACGAGTATACTCAACGGCGACCATTTTAGGTGTGTATGTCTGTCATCTTATACGAAAGACGGCTGAATACGGTCCAGCTATGCCTGAACATCGCGCCCCAAAGGACGGCCTTATCCTCGCCGTAAATGCCGGGTCATCTTCTCTCAAGATCTCTCTGCTCCGCCGCACAGACAGTCGAGCCTCCAATTCTGGCCTTGACGTTGTCGACCTCCTCTTGACGTCCAGCATCACTGACATCTCGTCGCCTCCCGCCTCTTTCAGTTTTAAGTTAGCATCCCACAAACAAGGCGGCGAGGCGGAAAAACAGTCTGTGGGCGACATCAAGGATCATACGTCCGCCTTTACCTACTTCCTCAATCACCTGCAGAACGAGAGCAAAATTAGCGTGCAGTCGATTGTACACGTCTGTCACCGTGTCGTACATGGTGGGGACTTGTACGAGCCTGTGATCATCGACTCGGAAAGCTATCAACACATTGAGGACCTGTCTGACCTCGCACCACTGTAAGTCGTTCAATTTCCAGGTGTGAGGGCAGAGGTGACAATCCTCCAGTCATAACGGCGCCGCACTTTCCATCATAAAGAGCGCCATCCAGTCTCTCCCCAATGCGAGTTCTATTGCCTATTTTGATACATCATTCCATCGCTCGATACCACTACACGTGGCGAGCTACGCCATCAACCCCGAGGTCGCGCACAAGCGTGGGTTGAAGAAATACGGGTTCCACGGCTTGAGCTGTGAGTGGGTGTAGCATCCGATATGTTTCATCGCGTGCTGAGCCCCATCTCAGACGCATATATTCTCGATGCAGTGAGCCATTACCTACAAAAAGTGGGTTGCATTCGATGGCGCGTGCATATCATCTCATGCGCCCCCAGGACAAGCCCTCGCTCAATCTCATTGTCCTGCACCTCGGTTCTGGTGCCTCCATCTGTGCGATCCGGAGCGGCCAATCACTCGACACGTCTATGGGGCTGACACCCGTTTCCGGGCTTCCCGGCGCAACACGCAGTGGGCTCGTCGACCCGTCGCTCATCTTCCATTACACGAACCGTGCCGGGCGGATCACGCACGACCCGAGCCAGGCCGTCGATGTGCGCGTCACACAGGCAGAGGAGATCCTCAACACCGAGTCCGGGTGGAAGGCACTCACGGGGACGTCCGACTTTGGCGAGATAGTGCAGAAGATGAAGGAGCACAGCGCGACGCGCGGTAGTGACATCGCCGACTGGCAGAGTGACGCGAAGTGGAGGCTCGCGTTTGACCTGTTTGTAGACAGGATCGTCGGGTTTGTGGGCGCGTACTATGTGCGTCTTGGTGGCAAGGTCGACGCGCTTGTATTTTCTGGCGGGATTGGTGAGAAGAGCCGCGAGCTTCGGGAAGCCATCATTCACCATACGGAGTGCATCGGCTTCAAGCTTGACAAGCAGGCGAATGCGGAAGCAGGCAAAAAGGAGGGTGCAGTGGTGGACATAGGCAAGAGTACGGATGTCGGACGCGTGCTGGTATGCAGGACAGATGAACAGGTGTGTTGTTTCAGCATTCGTCATGAAATAGAGGTTCACGCGCGAACAGCTCGAGATGGCCAAGGAGTGCGTAATGGCGGAGAGCTTTTGGCTTCCCGCATAATTAAGCCACAAAGCTCATGTACTATATGACTCGTCGACACCATTTCTTATACGTTTAGGGATCAATGAAACTGGTATCTGGCATGGTGACTGTAACCTAACGACGTACGTGTGATAGAGCTCTGCGATTGCATGAACCCGCACGATAGTGCCAATATTATCAGGTGCCGTGTAGTTGCCCAAGGTTCAAGTTCTTCGCACATGAAAGGCAGTTGGCACTCCAAAAATGATGAAAATCCTTGCCTGTGGCCCGAGTCGAACGGACGACCTCACCATGTGAATGACCGAAGCATACGAGTGGCGCGCTCTACCACTGAGCTACACAGGCCTTGAATGACAGATTATATAATCAGTGGTGGCCGCCTGCACGTGGCAGGATGACGTCGCAACTGGCGACACTGGCAGTGGCACGTCCTGAGCGAGCTGTTCCACATTATGACCTCTACATTGACGCATATACTCATATTCACTTCACCACTGGTCGTGGTCATGCCTCCTGCGCCTGCTCCTTACTCTGAAACTATCCCATTCGATGCCTGGCCAACAGATCCTTGAGCCCAATCCACCTCCCGACGCATCGCAGCTACCTGATGTATTACTCGATTACCGAGTCCAGTTCGACGTCAAAGGGGTGCTTTCCGGCGATGCTCTCGATTCAATCTCACAGTTCAGGCGAGCCGCAGACTACATCGCAGCCGGTATGTACGAGTCAAGCGTGCACACACCGGCCCACTGATCGCAGGGCAGCGATGATATTTCTTAAGAGTGGTATACTTGAGCGACGTGACCTTACCCCTGACGACATTAAGGAACGACTCCTTGGGCACTGGGGGACATGTCCTGGACTGGTCCTCGTCTACGCGCATATCAACCGCCTTGTTCGCAAGACCGACGCGGACGTCTTACATGTCGTTGGTCCAGGACATGGTGCACCCGCAATACTATCGTGCCTTTGGCTGGAGAACACGTTGGGACATTTCTGGCCGCACAACACGCGTGATCTGGCCGGCTTAAAGTGCCTCATTTCTGGCTTCAGCGTCCCAGGAGGGTTCCCAAGGTATGTGCTCTACGATATCGGTCGCTAAACCATCTTACTCGACCCGGAAAGCCATGTCAACGCGGAGACTCCAGGGTCAATTCACGAGGGAGGAGAGCTTGGCTATGCACTCAGTGTCGCGTTTGGCGCGGTCATGGACAAACCGGACCTTGTCTGTGTGTGCGTCGTCGGAGACGGTGAAGCTGAGACAGGGCCCACTGCAACGTACGTTGCTCCCCATCTCCTCTTCCCTACATTCCTGACTGTATGCTAGTGCCTGGCACAGCTACAAGTACATCGATCCCGCGGAATCCGGCGCCGTGCTTCCTGTCGTCCATGTGAACGGGTTCAAAATCTCTGAGCGTACGATCTACGGCACAATGGACGACAAAGAGCTTGTCGCGCTATTCATGGGCTACGGGTACCAGGTGCGATTTGTCGAGGACCTTCAGAACATTGACGAAGACATGGCGGCCTCCATGGAGTGGGCGCTCGGCGAGATTCGTGGGATACAAAAGGCGGCGAGGAGCGGGCAGCCACAGGTGAAGCCGCGCTGGCCCGTCCTTATCCTGCGTACTCCGAAGGCATGCGATATATTCATTCCTCAATTATCCCGCTCACAGCAATCACACAGGGGTGGGGTGGTCCGAAGAAGTTGGGCGACGAGTTCATTGAAGGATCGTTCCATGCCCACCAAGTCCCGCTACCGAATGCGAAGAAAGACCCGGAACAACTTAGAATCCTTCAAGAGTGGTTGGAATCTTATAAACCAGATGAGCTTTTCGACGATGACGGGGTGCCCAATGAGAGAATTTTGTCAATCATCCCAGCGGTATGCCGAAAATCTCTCTAAAATACTGAGTACCGACTGCTGTCTGTAGAAGGATGGGAAGAAGATTGGCATGAGGAAAGAGGTATACGCTGGTTACGTGCCTCTGCACATACCCGACTGGAAGCGGAAGGGCGTGGAGAAGGGTTGCCAAGCAAGCTGCATGGAAGTGATCGGCGAGCTACTATTCGAAGTGATCAATGAGTACGCGGCTGCGGCGTAGCATACACCTGGCGCTGATTGCATGCTTAGGAACCCGCAGTCATTTCGCATCTTCTCTCCGGATGAACTCGAGTCCAACAAGCTTGGCGCGACCCTCCGAAAGAGCGGGCGAAACATGCAATGGGATGTGACGTCGCGGGCGAAAGGCGGGCGTGTCATCGAGATCCTCTCCGAACATACTTGTCAAGGCATGATGCAAGGCTACACACTGACCGGACGGACTGCGCTCTTCCCGAGCTATGAGGCATTTCTAGGAATCGTACACACTATGATGGTACAGTACAGCAAGTTCGTGAAGATGGCGCAAGAGACGCACTGGCGGCAGCCGATTGGCTCTCTCAATTACCTCGAGACGAGCACCTGGGCGCGGCAGGACCATAACGGCTTCTCCCACCAGAACCCGTCGTTCATCGGCGGCGTGCTGGCGCTGAAGCCTAAAATCGCGCGCGTGTATCTGCCGCCGGATGCGAATTGCTTTCTTTCGACCATGGCGCATTGCCTCGGGGCGAAGAACTATATTAACCTTATGGTCGGCAGCAAGCAGCCGACGCCGGTATGGCTCAGCCCAGAAGAGGCAGACAAGGTGCGCTTGGTAGCTCTATTGTTTGGTGCGTAACTGAGTGCTTGCCGAAAGCATTGCATCGCTGGTGCTTCCATCTGGAAGTTTGCGAGTGTCGACGATGGCATCGACCCAGACGTAGTCCTCGTAGGCATTGGTGTAGAGATGACGTTCGAGGTGGTTGCTGCTGCGGCGCTCCTCCGTCAGCGTCTTCCCCAGTTGCGCATACGTGTGGTGAATGTCACCGACCTCATGATCCTCGAACCCTACGGAGCACACCCGCATGCATTAGCGGGGATCGAATTTGATACACTATTCACGACGGACCGTCCCGTACACTTCAATTACCACGGTTACGTGAACGAATTGAAGGTGAGAGTTGGTCACTTTCGCTGTGGAACGTACAGACTGCTGATCTCCTGAGTAGAGCCTGTTGTTCGGCCGCCCAAACATGGATCGCATCACGATGGAAGGGTGCGTCGCTTCTGTGTTGATGCCTCACCTTCACTGCATGTCTTTATAGATACCGTGAAGAAGGGACGACGACTTCTCCGTTCTCTATGATGCTGCTGAACCACACGTCGCGCTACCACATAGCTACAGCTGCCGTGCGGGGTGCCGCGCGGCTCAACCCGCGCGTTGGGGTCGACGCTCACGTCGTCACCAGTAGGTTCATGCATGACGTGCAGAAGGCGCAGCAGTTCATTATGGAGCACGGAGAGGATCCGGAAGGTACATTCGACTTGCCGAAGTTCGAGTAGCTCTACCAATGTGCCGCCTGGTCCAAGTCAGGCTTGGCTCGTTGTGCAATTGCAGTCCAGATACAAGTTATGGCTCTTCTGTGGTATGGTGTGGTACATCATGGTTATGGCTTTTGTCAACAGCCCTGCTTCGTTGGTTTGTTTGCCGAAACTCGCTTCACAGTAAGTGGAAAGACAAGATAGTGCGTCTGATTTGTTGCCTTCTGTGCTAGTATGACTGGAGTGGGAGATTTCCCCAGTGTGCATGCCTCCAACAGCAACATACCAATCGCACCACCAAACAGTCCGGCGATTCTTCTCGGATCTCGTCGGGGTCTCACTTGGTCTTTATCGCTCACGTACAGGTCGCCCTCGTTCCGCAGACGATACGACATGATCGTTGTATTTGGCTACCTTTCATTTTGCTAGCTCATGCTGTGGACAAGGTTCAGGGTGCTGATGCCTCATGGGTCAGCGGAAATGAATCCCCTTGTCCAGTCTAGACCCACCGTGGGACGACTTGTTTACAGCTTCGTCACCGAAGTACGCGTATACATATTATAGTCACAGACGCAGGCGGGTTATCCCTTGCATCTTGCATACTCACATCATGGACCTCATTCACACAATCAACAGGAGCCACGGGTTGAGCGAGGACGAGATCGATGCCCACCGTTCAGACGACGATCCAGTGATCATCCTCCGGGGAAAATTAGAGCGAGCATGCCAGCGGTGCGTGGTCCATCTCGTAGACACACAATTATCACGGTGACGCTTTCTACAGGCTTTCTACGGATTTATACAATTCACAAAGCCATTTTATCCTTGAGTTCGTCCAGAATGCCGACGACAACCTTTATGCTCGGGACGTTGTTCCTACGCTCCGTCTATGCCTCAAGAATGATGAAATGGTCATCAAGTGTAACGAGAAGGGCTTCGATGAGTCAAACATCAGGGCTATATGCGACATTGGAGCTAGTACGAAAGCGAAGGGGGGGAAAGCCGATGGTTATATAGGTTAGTAGATGTTAGATCTCTCCTTCACATGTCGCTGAGATGCTGTGTAAACAGGGGAGAAGGGCATTGGTAAAACACTATCACTCGTTGGGATCATTTCCTGACTGTCTTCTAGGCTTCAAGGCCGTATTTGTTGTCGCACATCGCGTTCATGTCGCATCTGGTCCGTTTACTTTCCTCTTTGACCGCAATGCTTGCCTAGGCATGGTGAACCCGATCTGGGATGCATCGCACGGTAGCATTCCTGGCTGGACAACATTCAGGCTGTCTATTGCGCAAACCGTCAATCGAAGCGACTTGAAGGATCAAGTAAAAGGAATTAAGCCGACGTTGCTCCTTTTTCTCCGCAAGCTACGCTCACTCGACGTCGAGATATATATCTCCCGATGTCTCCGGATCTCTCTGCGCCGTGTAGACGAGTCCAACGAGATCGTCAAACTCGAGCGACGCGAAAACGGCGTTTGTGTTTCTACCGAAAGGTACATCGTAGTCCAGCGATTGGTCCGCACATACACAGGTGAAGAAAAGAGACAAGGCATACAACAAAGCGAGGTGGTCCTTGCATTCCCCATAGATGCATCCGACAAGCCTATCATAGACCAACAGTATGTACACGCATTTCTGCCTGTTGCGACATATGGATTACCTGTATGTGATAATCTCATTACACGTCTTTGCACTCTGACCTCAGTCCGCTTAGTTCGTTGCCCAAGCTGACTTCTTGACGTCCGCAAGTAGAGAAGACATCCTTGCGGACTCGCAGTGGAATACTGTCTTGCTAGACGGCATCAAGGACACCTTCCTTGCTGCTGTGGAGCAACTCAAGCATCATCCTAGCCTTGGTGACTGCTGGATGCGTTACATTCCGATGCACACTCGAGGACCATTCCGGCAAGTCGAAGCAGGCATTGTCAAGGAGCTCAGA